TTTAGTTCTTTCTTGTTTCTTCATGTGAGCCTCTATTGCTATGTATTTCCCTCTTATTAATGTTTTTGCTGTGTCCATACATTTAGGAAATTGGTGTCCTACTTGTCATTCACTCGAAGTATTTTTAATTTCTTCTTTGATCTCCTCATCAGTCCAGTGGTCTTCCAGTAGTGTGGTTTTCAATCTCCATGAGGTAGGGGAGTTCCTTGTCTTCTTTTTATGGTTTATTTCTAGTTTGATGCCTTCAATGGTCAGAGAAGATGGTTGGTATGACTTCTATCTTGGTGTATCTGTTTGATGTTTGTCTGTGTCCCAGTATGTGATCGATCCTGGAGAATTATCCTTGTGTGCTTGAGAAAAATGTGCACTCATTTTTTTTTGGGTGTAGTGTTTCATAGATGTCTGTTAAGCCCATGAGCTCTAGATCCTTATTTAGAGCTTTAGTGTCCTTACTTATTTTTTGTCTCGTTGCTCTATCCATTGTTGATAGTGGTGTTTTGAAGTCTCCTACTACATATGTGATTCTCTGATGTCTGTTTTCAGAGATTATAGTAGTTGTCTGATATATTTTGGTGCTCCTTCATTTGGTGAGTATATGTTAATGAGTATTATTTCTTCTTGAAGAATTGTCTCCCTGATCATAATATAGTGACTGTTGGGGTCTCTTTTTACATTTTTTGAGTTTGAAATCTGTTTTATCTGATATAAGCATAGCTATTCCTACCTTCTTTTTTGGTCCATTTGCTTGTAGGATTGTTTTCCATTCTTGTACTTTGAGTTGTTTTTATCTTTTGTAGTTAAATGTGTTTCCTGGAGACAGCAAAAGATTGGGTTTTATTTCTTAATCCAGCCTGTGACTGTGTCTTTTTATTGAAGAGTTTAGTCCATTTACATTTAGAGTTAATATTGATATGTTAGTGTCTTTATTTGCCATTTTGTTTGTCTTTCCTCTGATTTTATTTATTTATTCTTTTAGTAACTTTTTTTTTTGGCCTTGTTTCTTTGTTATTCATTCCTCTGTGGTTCTGGCTTTAGGACTCCTTGTAGTATTTTTTGGAGTGGGGGTTTAGTCGTAATGAAATTCCAGAGTTTCTGTTTTTCTGGGAAGGTCCTTATTTTTTCTTTATAGAGGAAGGAAAGTTTTGCAGGATAGAGTATTCTTGGTTGGCATCTGTTTTCTTGGAGTCTGATGACTATGTCCCTCCACTCTCCTTGCCCATAGTGTTTCTTCGGAGAAGTCTGATGTCAGCCTGATTGGTTTTCCTTTGTATGTTATCTGTTTCTTCCCTCTTGTCAGCTTCATTATTTTTTCCTTGTCCTGGATTCTTGGGAGCTTTACTAGTATGTGTCTTGCTATATTCTTCCTTTCATCATGGAAGTTTGGTGTTCCTCTTGCTTCTTGTATGTCTATATTCAGCGCCTTCTTCATGTTTGGGAAGTTCTCTTCAATTATTTCCTCAAATAATTTCTCTGTTCCTAGGTCTCTCTTCTCTCCTTTTGGGATTCCTATACCTCTTATATTTCCTTTCCTCATGGAGTCAGATAATTCCCGAAGTCTTTCTTCAGTCTTTTTCATTTGTACTTTTCTTTCCTTTTCTGTTTTGGTTCTTTTTATTCTGTGTCTTCAAGAGTGCTTATTCATTCTTCCATTTCATCTATTCTGTTATCACTGCTTTTCCCAGAGTTCTTTAGCTCTTCCATTAATCCTTTGATCTCCTGCATTTCCTTCACTGCCCTCTTTAGGGACTCAATTTCATTCTTCTGATCACTGTTTTCTTTAATGTCCTCTGTCAGTTTTTTAATCATGGCTATTTTAAATTCTCTTTCTGGAAGGTTCAGAAGTTCTTCCAAGTCACTGTTGTTGCAATCTGGTGGTTGGTTTTCTTTTTGTGGTGTATCTTTTTCCTGAAGACTTGCTTGGTTGCATGTAGTTTTTCTTCTGCCTGCTGCTTGTTTTCTAGTTTGTCCTATGCGTTGGGACACTGTGTCGCTGGCACTGGCTAGCATCTTTTTGGTGTGTTCTTTCTGGGATGTCGGAAACTAGTGGTCCAACTGAGTCAAAAACTGTTATGTCTGAATTCCGGTAGGGCAGTAGTACTATGAATATGTTAGTGGTTGTTGTCACAGAGAATCTTCTCCTTGTGTATTTATTTAATTCCAGGGAGGGACCTATGGTCCCACAGTCTACCCTGTGGTGGCAGCTTCACCTGCTGGGCTCCAAATAGTTGGATCCCCCTCTGGGCTCAGACTGGTGGCCAGAAGGGGCTAAGGTTGTGGGGGCATTTCAGCTCACTGGCTTGTGGGAGCTATTCAGCTCACCTCTGGCTGAGGGGGCAGCTCTTCCCCAGCTCCACGCAGTCTAAGTGTGTTGCAGACACACAAAATGTCCCTAATCTAAAATGGCGAGTTGGTGGGCATCCCTGGTGGCGCAGCAGTTAAGCGCAGGGTTGCGAAGCTGCCCGCAGACTCTGTAGCACCAGTTCGATCCCCAGCTGCCAGCGAGGGTCCCACATGGCACGCAGATCTCTCCTGCCGTGCCCGCCGCTCCCTCAGCAGTATATTTCATCAGTCTGCCTGTTCTGCTCCCCACTTTGGCTCTGGTGGATTCTCTCACCCTCCCACACTTCTGACCGCACCCAGTGCTTGTGTAAATAAATAAATAAATCTTTAAAATGGTGAGTTGGGAGAGCCCTTCCATGCACCTGCGGTCTGCCCCAGCAGTGACTGGATCCCCCTCTGGCCTTCCATGGGGTCTGGCTTGTGGGGGCTTTTCAGCTCACCTCTGGCTGTGAGTGCAGCCCTTTCCCAGCTCCACGCAGTCTAGGAGTGTTGCGAACACTCCAAAGGTCCTTGATCTAAGATGGGGAGTTGGGAGGGCACTTCCGTCTACCCGAGGTCTGCCCAGGCACTGACTAGATCCCCCTCTGGATTGTTCACTTTTAAACAATGTTTGCTTCCCCCTTCCCCTGTTCGGGTATAGTCCCCATAGAATTTCCTTCACCAATGCACCCGTGCACCATCGCCACAGTCCCTGTTCTCCTTCCTCCCTCCCTCTCATTTAAAAATAGTATTTCAACTAATAAATGTACACAAAATGATAGAAAAAGAGTCACCATTTTAAAACTCTGTTAGTAGGGCCTCCCTGGTGGCTCAAAGGGTTAAGCACCACACTGTGAAGCAATAAGCAGCCTCTGCAGCACCAGTTCGGTTCCCGGCCAGCCAGAGCACAACCCACATGGCAAAGCAGACCTCTCCTGTCTGGCCTGCTGCTCCCCTCAGCAGTGTATTTCAGTCAGTCTGCCTGTTCTGTTCCTCACTCTGTCTCTGGTGAATCCTTTTAAGCCAGAGCACAACCCACATGGCGAAGCAGACCTCTCCTGTCTGGCCTGCTGCTCCCCTCAGCAGTGTATTTCAGTCAGTCTGCCTGTTCTGTTCCTCACTCTGTCTCTGGTGAATCCTTTTACCTCCTGCATCTCTGGCCTGTACCCCAGCTCTTGTATGCATAAATAAATAAATCTTTAAAAAAACTCCACTAGTAATACCTTCTTCAATGAAAGCTAAGATAATTTAAAGATTGTTGGGGAAATGATATGGAGAAACCTGGCAAGTGGCACTTTAATTAAATGAACAAAGTTAACATCACCAATAATATGACAAACCAATCTCATGTTCTTCCTGAAATAATGCACTGAGAAGAACACAACACACATAGGTAGTATTCCGGCCAGTACTACAGACCAACACATAATGCGTGAATCTAATCATAAGGAAACAGAAAAATACAAATGGAGAAACATTCTGCAAAATAACTGATCTACTTTCTTTAGAACTGTCATGAAAAATTAGTAAACGGCTGGGTAGTTGTTCTCTATTAAGACATCAAGGAAATATAACAACTAAATGCCAGTGTGTGATCTTTGATTAGATGCTGATGTAGGAAAAAAAAAAAACTATGGGAAAACATTATTGGAACAATTGGTAAATTCTGAATATGGACTCTATATTATATAATAGTAGTGTACCCATATTAAATTTACTGAGTGTGATGTTTATATTGTAGTTGCATATGAGAATGCCCTTGTTCAGAAAAAAAAGCATCAGGTATGTATATAAGTATGTGTGTGTATTTGTATGTGTGTTTGAGAGAGAGAGGAAGGAGTGAAGAAGAGAGAAGGGGATGGAGGAGAGGAAGAAATGGAAGATACTAGAGAGAGGACGCACAAGTGAGACAAAATGTTAATAGGTGACTCTGGAGGAATGGTATATGGGTATTCAATATAATTCTTACACATTTCTGTAAGCTTGAACTTTTTTGAAATAAAAACTTAAAAGCAACCATAATCAAATAGTCTAGTAACCTTTTTTTTTTTTTTGTTAAAAGAGTAGTAAATTTTCTGGTCCAATGAATTTATGAGGTCTAGGTAAAGAACGGGGGGTGGTTTCCAATGCTCCTCTATAATATTAAATCCATTAATCAATTAAACACAAGCCTCTCCTCATAAACTGGGATTATATTAAAGATACAGAGAAAGGCATTGCAATTTTGCCATTATTCCCAGCTTTCAAATTTCACTTCAGCAAACAGTATGCAGAGATCACTTACCTTGCCCCACCAAAATAGCCATCTTGCATTTTTCGGAGTGCTGCCAGGATACTTGAATTCAAGCTGGTTCCATCCTCATCTTGAAATAAATAATTTTAAAAAATATTTATGGCTTTCATTTTGAAAAAAGGGACTCAATTATTTCAAACCAACACTCTGGTGGTGATAGTGCAAATGAGATACGTCTCACTGATCACCCTGTATTTCAACAATTCATCTGAAAGTCAACAACACTATAGGATGGGCAAATGGTAAAGTATGACGACAAGTAGAGTTTCTTAAAAACAGTGGTTTACTTACCATATGTACTTGGCACAGTGCCTGAAGGTAGAATACATAGTGATTGCTGAATGCTAACAGATATAAAACTGGTAAACATGTGTTGAGGATACATGCTAAGCACTGTGCTAAACATTTTGGATATTGTCTACTCTAATGATCCTTGGCTTGTGTGTGTGTGTGTGTATAGGCATAAAAATGTAGAAGATGAACAATTATATGATTTTATATGAAGGGGATCATACTAAACACACTTTCATGACCCACTTTTTAAAACTTATTTTTAAGTACTTTTATTTCTTTAATATTAATTTTTTTTTAAAATAGATCTTTTTCTTCATTATATGGTTACATTGCTCAACTCAGCTTCTAAATTTCTTGGAATCCATTCAAGTTTCCATCTCTTTTTTTTTTAAGATTTATTTTTATTTTTTTTATTTTTTAAAAGATTTTATTTATTTATTTGTTTGTTTGTTTATTTATTTATACAAGCACTGGGTACAGTCAGAAGCGCGGGAGGGTGAGAGAATGCACCAGAGTCAGAGCAGGAAGCAAAGCAGGCAGAAGGACCAAAGCACACTGCTGAGGGGAGCAGCGGGCAGCAGGAGAGGTCTGCGCGCCATGTGGGACCCTCCTCTGGTGGCCGGGGAGCAGCCAGGGATTGAACCAGCGCTGCAGATGCTGCGGGCAGCTTCACAACCCAGCACTCAACCGCTGCGCCACCGGGGAGGCCCTCTTTAATACTAATTTGACAGTTGTTTTCATATCTGTAAAACTTTAAGGGTACACTTTCACACCTCATATGTGCACATGCTTCACTCACTCTCTACCACGATTCCCATGCCAGTGACCAATTCACTTCCATCCACTGTTCTCTCCTTCCTCCCCTATATTCTTACTTATTCTTTGTAATAATTAAAAATGACTCCATAGCAGATACTTACAATGCTTTTGCATTATGAGCAACACTGTGATGAAGATCATTGTACCTGTATCTTTATGTATTTATTCTATTATTTCCTTAGGATAAATCTTCCATGTTGACTGTTAGGACAAAGGGAATACTTACTAAAAATGTTATAGACTGCCAAACTGCTCCCTAAAAATGACTGTTTCCCCATTTCGTTAATAAAAAAAATGGTTTTAATAATCTTTAACCTTTGTTAATCCGATATAATAAAAAAAGGCTTTTTAGGTTTTTTGCTGGCAATATTGAACATGTTTTCAATTATTTACTGACCATTCATGTTTATTTTATGAACGACCTGTTTATGTCCTTTCCACATGTTTTACTAAGTATTTTATCTTTTTTTCAATTGACTTTCAAGGGCTCTTTATGTTTTGGGAATATTATTCTTTTACCAATCATATATATGGCAAACAGTTATCTACTTTATTGTCCACAATTTATTTGTGTGTATACAATTTATTTTTATTTTTTGTATTCTTATTTATGTGCTTATTTATTTTTAACTGAGGTAATATTGGGGTACCCCATCAGGTATTACCACCACAGTGCACCTACCAGCAACTCACCCATATTCTATTACCACAGACCATTGTGCTCCCTTCCCTCTTTGTTCCTTCCCTTCTCCTTTGGTTTTTCAGTTCTGTACTCAGCTATCAGGGGTGAGTACTTCAGCTTTTCTTTATCTATTAATTTAGTTACTTTATATTCCACATATTAGTGACACCATCCGATCTTTATCTTTCTTCTTCTAACTTATTTCACTTAGTATTATCCTTTCAAGCTCCATCCATGTTGCTGCAAATGGCATCAATCAGTTTATCATTTTTGATTGCTGAGTATTATTCCAATGTTTAAATATACCACATCTTCTTAATCCATTCATCTGTCTGGAGCACACAGGTGTTTTCCCATAATTTAGCTATAGTAAACAGTAGTCCAATAAACATGGAAGAAGAGTTTGCTTTCAAATTTTCAATGTTGAGGATAGATGCCTAGGAGTGGAATTACTAGGTGCAATGGCAGATCCATGTTTAATGTTCTGAGACACCTCTATACCACTTTCCATAAGGGATGGAGCAGTTTTCTTTCCTACCAACAGTGTAAAAAGGTTCCCCTTTCTCCACATCCTCGCCAGAACTTGGTTTCTGTTCTTTTCCATATGGGTCATTCTCACAGGTGTGAGATGGTAACTCATTGTGGTCTTGATTTGCATTTCTCTAATAATAAGAGACTGTGAACATTTTTCCATGTGCCTGCTGGCCATTTATTTTTTTATTAAAGATATATTTTATTTATGCATACAAGACTGGGGTACAGGCCAGAGGTGTGGGGGTGAGAGGATTCACTAGAGACAAAGTGGGGAGAAGAACAGGCAGATCTACTGAAATATACTGTTGAGGAGAGCAGTGGGCAAGACAGGAAAGGTCTGCTGCGCCATGTGGGTTGCTCCCTGTCTGGGGATTGAACTCGTGCTGCAGTGGCTGGCGATAGCTTGATAGTGCTGTCTTTAACCCCTGTGCCACCAGGGAGGCCCCTGCTGGCCATTTTAATGTTATCTTTAGAGAGGTAGCTGTTTAGTTCTTTTGCCATATATCTTTATCTATCTATCTATCTATCTAGATATCTATCTATCTAGATAGATAGATAGATAGATAGATAGATAGATAGATAGATAGATATATGCCCACTTTGACAATGTTGATCTCAATTCTATTCCATTTATATGTGTCTGTTTTTGTTCTAGTACCAGGCTGTTTTAATTATTATGACTTTATAATATAGATTGAGGTCTGGAAGTACGATACCTCCATTCTCTTTCTTCTTTGTCAAGATTGCCTTGGCTATTTAGGGTCTTTTATGATGTCGTATGAATTTCAGTAGTATTTGCTCTAGTTTTTTGAAATATGCCATTGATACTTCTATTGGGATTGCACTGAATCTGTATATTGCTTTGGGTAGAATAGCCACTTTGACAATGCTGATTCTTCCAATCCATGAGCAAGGAATATTTTTCTATTTCTTTGTATCTTCTATTGCTTTCAACAATGTCTTATAACTTTCTTTGTATAGATCTTTTACCTCCTTTGTTAGCTTTACTCCTATATATTTAATTTTTTTGTGTGATTGCAAATGGTATCGCCTTCTTAATTTTTGACCATTTCTATCTCATTGTTTGTGTACAGGAAGGCAACTGATTTATGTGTATTGATTTTACAACCTGCCTCTTTGAAAAATTGAATGTTTCAATTAGTTTTTCTGTGGAATCTTGAGGACTCTCTATGTATATTATCATGTCATCTGCAAATAATGATAGCTTTACTTCTTCTCAATTTAAATTCCTTTTATATCTTTCTCTTGTGTAATTGCTCTAGATAGAACTTCCAATACTATGTTGAATAGCAATGATGAGAGTAGACATCCTTGTCTTGTACCAGATTTTAGTGGCAAAGCTTTCAGTTTTTCACCACTAATAATAATATTAGCTATGGGTTTGTTGTAAATAGCTTTTATTATGTTAAGGTATGTGCATTTATACCCAGTTTTTTTGAGGGATTTCAACATAAATGGATGTTATGAAATGCTTTCTCAGCATCTATTGATATGATCATATGGTTTTTATCTTTCTTTTTGTTGATGTGGTAAGTTACATTGATTGATTTTAGGATGTTTAACCATCCTTGTATTCCTGGTATGAATCCCACTTGGTCATGGTGTATGATATTTTTAATACATTATTATATTCAGTTTGCTAGGATTTTATTCAGGATTTTTGCATATTATTCATTAGGGAGATTGGTCTCTAATTTTCTTTTTTGTGTTGTCTTTGGTTTTGATATTAGAATAATGTTTGCCTCATAAGAAGTATTTGAAAGTATTCCTCCTTTTTGGAATTTTTGGAAAAGTCTGAGTAAAACAGTCATTAGTTCATCTTTAAAGGTTGGGGGAGGGTCATGCAGAGAGTAATGAGATCTCTTCTGGTTTGGGTGGGGGCCAGCAGGGTCTTGCATAAGGTCACAAGGTCTCACAGAGCTGCTTTGGCTCCCTCCCTGACTGGGGTCTGTAGTCTCACCGGCCCCAGCTGGTATTCTCTTACAGAATTTCTTAGTCTATCAATGGCAGCATTATTTATTTAGTCTCTAAGACTTGGCATTGTCTTGATTCATCTCTCATATCTAGCTAGACAACATGTGACTTACAGGTGTTTAAAATGACTCATATCCTTCTTTTCCTCTCTATTTTTACCACCACCAATCAAGTGTTTCTTCTCAAGCCTTCTCACCTGGATTTTTGCCATCAGTTTCTCCTCACTATAATGTATATTGTCACCAAAATCAATATTACCTAAACACTTTCACATGCTGCTACTTGCTCAAAAAATTTCTGATTGTTTCAGATTTCTGAGAAGTCTCTTTATTTTCAAGGTCTACATAATCTGACCCTACCTTACTTATCCAATTTTGTTGATAATTTTATTCTAACATGAAAAGCCCACTTTATTCAGGTTAGTCTCTTCACTGTCTACACAAGACAAGCTCATCCTTACATCCAGGCTTCGCTCATGGTATTTTTGTTCATCACCTAAAGTAATGTTTTTTTCTTCCCTCCTCCTATGTGAATACTACTACAAAAATCCTGGATAAATCTTATCTTAGTCAGGAAATTTTCTTTGACAACTTATCACCTTCACTGTAAAATACTAATCAGATAGTTTAGTATGTCTTTATATACTCTCTTTATAATATAGATTGAGCTTTTTATTATTATTCTTGTATACTAGTTTGCATCCTCAATTAGACTTTATGCTTTCTAAAGACAATTCTGGGAGTATAGTAGTTATTAAATAGGTACTTGTAATTGTCTTAACTAAAGAGAAAAAACAAAATAAAGAAAGACTACCCTGCTTCCTCAACTCCTGTGCTTTTGAAGCACAGATGTGACCAAAATTCCTAACAATCTGTCTGGACTTGAAATGATATAATGCATAGGACTTTTTTTTTGTAATGAAAAAGAATTCTATGTACTTTGGCAGTACAAATAGGTTTTTGGAAGCAACAACAGACAACAAAACATAACAACAACAAAAGCAATGATTTGGTATTGGCTATAGTTCTCCAGGAATTGAGAGAACAATAAAGCCTTTTATCTGGTTCCCAGTAAGGAAAATGAGGAAGCCCAACTAAAAAATGAAAGATAAACAAAAAACCTTTTTACTTTTCTCTGCTAGATTTTACTGCTCCAGTTAGGCAAGCCTTGGAAGAAGTCTGGCAACTTATCTATAACATCTTGATGCACCAATGGAGTAAGACAAATGCAGAAGTTAGTTTTACTCTTTAAAATGAATTGTGTTGATAGAATTTCTGCAAATTGACCTAGAAATCAGTTAATTAAGATAGCCCCCAATAAACTTAAGTTTATGATGTTTTCTGAAGATAATTCTCAAACCATCTGAAATATTTTTGTGTATTAGTGTATTTGTTACATATTTATTCTAAAACATAAGTTCCATGAAAGCAGAAACCTCATTTGCTTTATTTGTCCCATGTATACCCAGTGCTAAGAAAAGTACCTGGCACAAAATAGGCACTAAAATAAATGATAAGAAGTAGCTCTACAATGACTCTAATATTTTTAAGGGCTAATTACATGACTTATTCCAAAAATGATTTTGTTTCTTGCTGCATACAACCTTACCAAGCATGGTGTGTGAGATAGGGAAGGTGATAGTCGGCTGGCCAGTCATTCTCCAGCGGCTGCAAAGGTAGGAAAGGTCTGTTCTAAGCATTTCCACTATCATCTTGTTGTCCAAAGCCAAGTAGAACTGTTGTTGATCTATAAACTGAGATAAAGAAAAATTACAGCTCAGAATAATTTACTCTCACAACTATGAAATAATATTTTCAAATACTCACATATTCATAAGGGTATATAAGATGTCACAGAGGCAACAATGCCTCCAAATTTAATGCCTAATGTCTTCCAAAGTATTTGGTGGTCCACCGATACATGTAGCCATTTTTGATATTTTACAATGTGCTTCAGGTTACAAAGTATTTTCAAGTACATAATATTATGTAATCTGATAATAACCCAGTGAGGGATTTTTATCTCTTAATAGATGAAAAATAAGTCAAGAGACATAAACAGATTAGCAAAACCATGTGGCTAGCAAATGGCAATGTCAAATAGAACCTAGGGTCCATTATTCTTTTGTCTATACCTTGGCTGTGTAATTTCAGATGTAAGATGAGAAATGAGTTACTTAAGCTTTCTTTCCAGAAAAAAGTTTCTCCTCTTCAATATGAACATATAATTGAGTTTGTCACCATAATGTGGCTAATAAAAATCAGGCTAACAATGTATATAATCATGGCTAAGACAGTGCTGATATTTTTGTTTAGAAGGGGATCTATCAAAGAATTTCAGGTATGTAAAAAGGGCCTGTCTCCCCCTCCCCAAGTAAAGAAAATATGTTATCAAGACTGGGGAATAAAAAAACTGTATTTTGTGTATGAATATCAAATCTTTTTTTAACATTTAAAAGTAAGGAACACTGGTAGGCAAACTTTTATCTCCAACTACCAGTGGCCATTTTATAGCATGCTGCAGTTTGGAGGAAGAGGGACCAAGATGGTGACAGAGAACATTCCTTCCTTCACTCCTAAAAGGATAATCTAACAGTCAACCAGAGGGACATTATACCCAGAGAGTCCTATAACTTAGGTGGAAACTGTAATACCCCTGGGACATCAGAGACAGGCAAAGACAATACCAGCAGGGACACAGAGAATATCCACACTTCACTGAAGAAGTGGGTGTAGAGAGATACCAGAAGGCCATGGTCCAGGGCAGGAGGGTGTCACAGACTGGTACTGCCATTAACCTAGGGGTCTTGGGGAAGGGACATCTAAACAGTATGGATAACACTCCATTGGCTGAGGGAAAATAGATTTTGAGGAGCTGTGCTGCTCCTCACAGGCTATTATGCTCTCCAGTAAAAGGAACAGATAATATACTGGAATGCATTTCCTTTCCCCCACCATTTCAGCATGGTGCTGACCTCATTAAATGCACTGACAGTGCACAGACTGTAGAATTGCTGGTTTGGAACACCAAAGGTGGGGGGGGGGGTTCAGCAGTGGCACAAACATAAGCAAGCCCTCCCCCTCCAACACTTCCTCCCACACATCTGCATGGATGGCTGGCACTTCCAGGCCCCTCTCTCACCTTCTGACTCAGTAACTACAAAAACAAGTTACAGTACCTATATAATCTGGCAAAGGCCAAACAAACTAAATAAAATAAAACTACAATACTACCTGCTGCAAATGTAAAAGTAGTTCAACTCCCTCAAAGTTACTCTTACAGATATTTTTTGAAAATGTAATATAGTGAAAACTAAAGCAGCAAAATAGGCAGAAAAAATATTACAACATATGGCACCTCGAGACCGCAAAGGAATATGACATCATTAGAAAACAACTCTCAAGAATCCAACCACAAAAACATGGAAGAATTTATCTTCCTATCAAATAGAGAATTCAAAATCACCCAGTCAAAGAGATGGAAGAAAATGCAGAAAAGCAAATCAAAGTGAAACAAGAGAACTCTGAAAAATAAATTAAGGAGATACAAGAAAATTCAGGAAAATGAATAATATGAGAAAATTAATGAAACACAAAATAGAAATTGAAACTTCAAATAAGAAAATAACAGAGATTTAGGATGTAAAAAGCTCATAGATGAGATAAAAAACAATATTTTAGAGAAATGTATGAAAGAAAAATAGAACAAATGTAGGATAGAATCACTGACGCCAAAGGACTCAGGTGGAAGCAGAAAGCAAAATATGAAAAAAAGAAAAGAAAAGAAACACTCTGAGAATTATTTGACTCCATAGGAAAGACAACATCAAGATAATGGGTATGCTAGAATATCCTAAAAGGGAAGAGAGAGAGAAAGGAACAGAGATCTTATTCAAAGACATAATAATGGAAAATTTCCTAAACATGGCTAAGGAACTAAATATACAAGGCCATGAAACTTAAAGAACACCTGGTTGTATAAATGCAGTGAGACCTATACCAAGACACATATTCATGAAAATACCATGAGCTCAAAACAAAGAAAGAATGCTGAAGGTGACTAGGGGAAAAAGGAAGGTAACTTCTAAAGGCACTCCCACTAAACTTCTCAGAAGAAACCCTATAAACAAGGATATAATGGAATAATATACTCAAAATATTAAAAGACAAAAACTGCCAGCCATGAATATCCTGTACTGCAAGATTCCCCTTCAGATACAGAGAGAAATAAAGGCCTTCCCAGACAAACTGAAGCAGAAGGAGATTGCCAACACTAAATTTCTCCTACTAGAAATGCTGAAAGGAGCTTGTCTATCTAAGTCTAGGAAAATAAACACACACACACACACACACACAAAAAAAAAAAAAAAAAAAAAAAAAAACCAGAACAAGGAAATGGATAAAATCAGAAAACTAAAGAGAAAATGGCAGTAACAAATCCTTATATATCAATAGTCACCCTAAATACAAATGGACTGAACTCACCAATAAAAAGGCACAGAGTGGTTGGTTGGATCAGAAAACAAAACCCAACTTTCTGCTGTCTCCAGGATACGCATCTGAGCTCCAAAGATAAACATAGGCTCAAAGTAAATGGTTGGAACAATCCCACAAGCAGTGTGAACCTGTACCTCTTAATCATACACAGTGTTTTAAACTAATGGCATTTCAATAAAGAAAAATGAAAAACAAAACCAAATATATATATATATAATATATATATATATATCATATAGCAGGGTTAGCTGTGGTCATCAGGTTGTATATTATATCCCTAGTACTTATTTGTCTGGTACCTAGAAGTTTGCACATTTTGACTCCCTTTGACCAGTGCCACTCACCCCAACCCTTGTCTTTTGCAACCATAATTTAAAACTTATTTTAAATTGTCAAAAAAAATGCAAGGAGTACTTTACATACACCAGCATTTGTAACATCCCTGGTCTCTTTTTGCAACACCTTGGATAACTGTTAGTAGTCACAATCACTTGGCATAGCTCTGTACTGAAATTTCAATTCTGTCTAACTGAGGAAATATTTTCTCAGCAACTTAATATGTGCAAGACCCTGTGGGATTCTGACACTTATCTTAATTTCTGTAAATTGCTTTGTTTCTGCAATGTTTCTCTTTTACTTTAATTCATCTCTATGCACTTTTTAAAGTTTTTATTTTTATTTTTATTTATTTTTTACATCATTGTTCTATGCACTTTAAAGCTCACTCCACCCACCTGTGGAGTGAAGGTAAAGACTGTTTTCCGAATGTCATAGAGTTTTGAAGTTCCAAGCACTCCCATGTGTCTGTAAGGTCGTCCACTGAGTTTCAGTCTTCTGTTGCATCCTAAGACAGAATTAAGAATTGGCCAAGATATTTTTGGTGCACAAATACAATCAGCAAACACATTCTGGTATTAGTTCATATTTCCTGATTTAACAAACTAAGTTCTGTGTCTCCAAGTAGTATCCATGTCATGCATAGCACAATACTAAGCATTGTTGGGCTTTCAAAGAGTCAGCAATTATCTCTATTCTTAAAGAACCTTATGTTCTCATAAAGAAGTCACATTTTTTTGCACATGAGAGACAAGGATGCACATAAAAACTAATGATTACATGAATGATGGATCTATAATTAATATTCATATACTGAATTTTCTCAAACCCAAAAAAGCAAAAAAACAATACTAATTGTCAAATTCATTAATGGAAACTGTATTTCAACAAAGCTGAGCAAAAACCTCATTAAAGATGAGATATTAAACTGAAAACTGAAGTAAGAGAGTACCTTGATCTCTTTTCATGACACAGTAATAACATATTTTATTCAACAGAACAATACTATACAAATAAGTCAACATATTTTGAGATGCTTGTATCTAATAGGAAATTTTGTGGACACTTATATACAAAGTAAAATTCATGTGGCAGAGGAATGTTTTTTAAAACGTGAAAAGGCAGAAGACTTGAACTACAATACGACTATAAAAGGCAATTTTAATGAAAATTTAACCAGAATATATATATATATATATCATGTGCCTAAATACCGTGTATATGTACAATATATATGTATACATATGTACGCATTCATATGCATTGTATTTCCTGAGTTTAAGATGTCTTCTTCTTACAGTTTAGCATTCTGACATTATAATCTTGTAAGTGATGTCTCTGCTAAACGTAGTTGAATTTCTGTTTTATCTTTCAATTATTACACCAATAACTCTTACAATGAGGAAATAGCCTATTTATTCACACATGCATTTCCCTTTGAAAACATATAACACTATAAACATTGTTGTCAAACTTTATCCCTCCAAATATATATTTAATATCCTTTCATGTCACTACTGACAAAACTGATGCTAATTTTTTGTCCCGAACTCATTTTCATTAGGGGTGGGATTTCTGTTCTTCTTTCATAGAACTATACAATCACATAAAGCTGAATAAAAAAGAAAGAGGAAACCTAAACAAACCAAATACAAGGAGCAAAATTGAAACATTGAAACAGTAATAAACACCCTCTTCAAAAACAAGTGCCCAAGACCAGGGGGATTCACAAGTGAGTTCTACCAAATGTTCAAAGATGAACTGGTGCCTATGCGCTGGGCTGTGAAGCTGCCCGCAGTCTCTGCAGCGCTGGTTCGATCCCCAGCTGGTGGCGAGGGTCCCACATGGCACGTAGACCTCTCCAGCCACGCCCTCTGTTCCCCTTGGCAGTGTACTTTGTCAGTCTGCCTGTTCTACTCCCCGCTCTGGCTCTGGTGAATTTTCTCACCCTCCCGCGCTTCTGACTGTACCCAGTGCTCGTATAAATAAATAAAAAAAAGTCTTTAAAAAAATTTATAGAGAAGGAATACTACCAGATGCATTTTATGAAACCAACATTACACTAATATCAAAACCAAAAAAAAAATACAAAAAAAGAAAACTATAGGCCAATCTCCCTAATAAACACAGACACAAAAATCCTCAATAAAACCCTAGCAAACCAAATCCAACAATGCATCAAAAGTATAATACATGATGGCCAAGTGAGATTTATCCCAGGGACACAAGGATGGTTCAACATCTGAAATTAATGTAATCCATCACATCAATAAAAGAAAAATAAAAACCATATGATCATATCAATAGATGCTGGAAAAGCATTTGATAAAAGTTCAGCGTCCATTTAAGATGCAGACCCTCAAAATACTTGGGATAAAATGAACTTACTTAAACGTAAGAAGAGCCATATATGACAAACCCAGAACTAGCACCATTGTCAATGGTAAAAAACTGAAAGCCTTCTCTTTATGATCTGGAAAAAGACAAGGATGTCCACTCTCACCACTGTTTTTCAGTATAATACTGGATGTCCTAGCTAGAGCAATCGGGAAAGAGAAAGATATACAAAGGATCCAAATAGGGAAAGAAGAAGTAAAACTATCACTATTTGCAGATGACATGATAATATATACAGAGAACCCTAAAAATTCCACAGAAAAACTAATGAAACAATAAATCAGTTCAATAAAGTAGCAAGATACAAAATAAACACACAAAAACCAGTGGCCTTCCTATATGCAAACAATCAGTCTGAAGAGGAAGAAATTAAGACAACACATGCAACAATTGTACACTGTTGAATAAATTTACAACTGTACCAAAAAATTAAATACCTGGAAATTAACTTAACAAAGGAGGTGAAAGACTTATACAAAGAAAATTAGAAAGCATTGTTTAAAGAAATAAAAGAAGACACAGAGAAATGGAAAGACATTCCCTGCTCATAGAGAATTTACATTGTAAAAATGGCTATCCTATCAAAAGCAATTTACAGACTCAATGCAATTCCAATAAAAATCTCAATGGCATTCTTCCAAGAAATATTTATAGAACAAACATTTGTGAAATTCATATGGAATCACAAAAACCCTCATATAGCCAATGCTCTTCTGACTGAAAGGAAGGAAAGCAGAGGAATTACATGTCTGGTCTTCAAACTATACTACAAAGCCATAATAATAAAATGGCATGGTATTAGAACAAAAAAAAAACCACACAGAGCAGTGGAATATAACCGAAAAGCCAGAAATAAAGCCATACATATATTGTCAATTAATCTATGACAATGGACCAAAGAATATACACTGGAAAAATGATAGTCTGTTCAACAAATGGTACTGGGAAAACTGCACTACCACATGCAAAAGATTGAAACTAGACTGCCAACTCATACATACACAAAAACCAAATCAAAATGGATAAAAGACTTGAATATAAGAGCTGAAACTATAAAATATATAGAAGAAAACAGGCAAAACATTCCATGATATAGATCTTGGAAATATCTTTAAGTACTCATCCCCAGAAGAAAGGAAAACAAAGGAGAACATAAACAACTGGGACTACATCAAAGTAAAAAGTTCTGCACAGAAAGGAGAAAGTATTCAAAATAAAGAAACACCCCATGGAATAGGAGAAAATATTAGCACACCATATAACTGATAAGGGACTGATATCAAAGATCTACAAAGAGCTCAGACAACTCAACAAAAACAAAGCAAACAACCCGATCAAAAAATGGGCAGCAGAACTAAAAAGGTACTTTTCAAAAGAAATGCAAATGGCCAATAGGTATAAGAAAAAATGTTCATTATCACTTATAATCAGAGAAATGCAAATAAAAACCTCAATGAGATACCACCTCACACTGGTGAGAGTGGTCCATATTAAAACAAAAACAAAAACAACTGTTAACAACAAATGCTGGTGAAGATGTGGTGAAAAAGGAACCTTCTTACACTGCTGGTGGGAATACAAACTAGTCCAGCCACTATGGAAAGCTCTGTGGAGGATCTTCAAAACACTAAAAATGGATCCACCATATGATCCAGCGATTCCACTCCTGGGAATATACCCAAAGGACAGAAAAACACTAATTCAAAGGGAAACCTGTTTATTGCAGCATTATTTCCAATAGCTAAGATATGGAATCAACCTAAATGTCCCCAAATAGATGACTGGATAAAGGAGATGTTGTTTATAAACATAATGGAATACTACTCAGTGATCGAAAAACATAAACTCATGCCATTTGTGGCAACATGGATGGAACTGGAAGGGATTATGCTAAGCAAAATAAGTCAGAAGGAAAAGAAAAATATTGGATGGTCTCGCTTATAGGAGGAATGTAGGGCAACTGAACAAAGGATCAGGAAAAAGACAAAACTTGTAGGCAAACCATAGATCTGAGATTTACAGCAGGAGAGGGAGAGGGAGAGGAGTCAAAACAGGAGGGAAGTGCACAAGGGACTATGGTGATGGTCACAGATGCCTTGGCAGTGGGAGAATTATGGGAACTAAACCTAAGGGAGAAATTAAAGATTGTACAAATACGAAAAACAATTTAAGAAACTTAAAAAAAGTTCATTAAAAACTAAGTGCCCAGTGTTTATATTAGGGACTGGTCACATGAGGGCTTTCTGCTTATCACATACCAAAACTCCATACTCTCAAAAGGAAAACAGGTGGTCAGCATAAATCATATTGTTTGCCGAGTTGGTAAACCACCATTATTATTTAGGGTATATTGGTAAACCTCTCAAAATCCAAGTCCCCAGATGCCAGCTCAGGCCAATCTTGCAAAGAGGCCTTTCTTTTTTTATTTTTTTTAATGATTTATTTATTTATATATAAATTTTACATCATTGTTCATTTTTTTACAATGTTTGCTTTCTTTTCTCAGGTGTAGTCCTAATAGAATCCCCACCACCAATTCACCTGTGCACCATCACCATAATCCCTTGTGCTCTTCTCTCCCTGTTATGATCTCACATCTTGCAAATAGGTCTTTCTAAGGATAGCATTCTCAGACCTGAGCTGTTAACTCTCTTCTGCACAGTCTAACCCATGGCTCTTGTCCTAGATGTCTTTTGCAGTAGGGCCACACGCAGCAGCATGAGACCAATATGCACAGTATTGTCCTCAGTCAGGTCCTCAGGGGTTCTAGATTTAGCTAGATAAAACAAACCCATTACCATAAAGGTGCATATTCAGGTGGCTTCCTCCTTACATTTCTGCATTAAATATTTTCTTACACCTGGCTTGAAGCATCAATCTAGGCACAGCACAAGCTGGCCAGTAAACTGAAGGTGACCTGAATGCCTTCAGAGTTGAGGCAGTGCCAGGACAGTCAGGGCTCAGTGACAAGTACAATCCAAGAGGGCATGTGGCGTACCCCTGGACAAAATATTTTATAATAGTTAGGGCATCCCAAAGTAGGACATATACTAATCAGGCCCTAGTGTAGGTTAACAGGACCCCCTAATGTGGCCCACCACTGTGGGGCCT